AACATTGTATTGTGCCACGCCCAACAGAAATAACCCAGGTGGATAGCTCCTCAGTTGCTCATAGAAAATCCCACCTTGGAGTTTACAAAGACTTATGGGTAGAAAAGCCACACTAAGTAATTTACTACACTGCAGTGGCACTGTTAAACACTTGACTACCAGCCAAAATGTTGGTGGTTTGAATCCACTCAAAGGAGCCTCAGAATAAAGGCCTGGTGATGAGCTTCCAAAAAGTTCACAGACTTGAAAACCCTATGAAGCACTTCTACTCTACCCACATGAGGTCACCATGAGTTGGAATCAACTCCACTTGACAGCAACTGGTTTGTTTTTTTTTTTATTTTTGGTCTAGAGATCAGTGAGCAGGCAGTGGTGGGGTAGGGGGTGGACAAAGTCACAGCAAAGTCTTTTAGATTACATTAAGAATTTTCCATTTTACCTTAAAGGCAACAGGCTTTAGCAACAAAGTAATGTGCTTGATCATATTTTAAGATCAACTTCTGTGTAGAAAAGGACTGAAGAAAGACAAGAATAAAGGCGGGGAGAACTATAAGAGGATGTTGCTGTGGATAGGGCTAGAGATGGCAGGGCCCAGGACTAAGATGGAGGTCATGAAATACAAAGGAGAGATATCCTGGAGGTAGCATCAAGGTGATCGATCAGCTAGGTTGACTCCCCGGTTCTGGCATGGCTGGCCGGGTGGATGACGGGCCATTCACAGAGATCATGATTACACGAATGGTCCAGGGTAGGGGTCATCAGTTCAAATTCTGATGAATTGACTATGAGGTAGGGATGTCGTGTAAACAGCCCAGGCCCCTCCAAGATCTCAGGGAGAACAAACAACTCTGTTTCTAGGAACCAAAGTGTGACAATTCCTATTGAAGGCCAAGATGGGGGAGAAATGAGTAATAACACATCCTCGCTCAAGCGCCAGAGATCAGAAGCAGGTAGTTTGAAGGGACTGGGCTGGGAGCATTGTGATTGAGGTGGGGATGGGGCACTGGTGGAAGGTCATACCCTCCATCCCCCTGCCTCCCGTTTCTCCACCCAGGATGAAATAGCAGCCCCCCTTCCCCATGAGAGATCTTCTTACTCTTAGAATCTGGCAGGATCTCTGCCTCCCCCTCTCCCAGACTTGGGGCCGGTCTGCTCTTCTCTAGGATGTCTATAGCACGTATCAGACTCTGAACCAGGGCCCAGTCTCCCATGGTTCATTCCAAGATGCTGAGACCTGAGAGACACTTTTCCATCTTCACCCATCCATCTTTTCAATCACATTGCTCTTTCAGCCTACCTACCAGGGCCACACTGGAAGAGCGACACTTCCCCTTGGAGAGGGGAGAGGGTCAGAGGTTGGGCAGGGCCAAGTGGAGTTAGGCCTTCTCAGATATCAGGTGGGCATCCAGGGGTAGGGGTAGAGGCTGCAGACACAGCCTCAGGAAGGGCCCCTCCATGCTTTAGATTCAGGGGCCTGGGGAAGACCAGGGAGGAGAACCTGAAGCTAACCACTGCCCCACCTGTTCCAGAAAAAAGCTCCTCACAAGTTGCTCAAGTGAAACCCTTCTGCCTATCTTCTGACTCTTTGAGGGGCCTGCACATGCAGCTTCTGGGGACTGATGATGACTTCTGGGGACCCAGAGGGCCAGTGGCTACCAAGACAGTTGACGAAGAGAGGAGCCTATACCAGTGAGTGAGGGGGTTCTGCCCGTCCCACCCCACCACCCTCACATGCAGTCCCCACACAAAGGCAGCACCACACCCACTCCCCTTTATATCCCCTCCTCTTGCCAAGCCAGCATGCAGAGACAGGGACAAGCTACTGGGTCTGTGCTTTTTATTATGGACAACAACAAAAAAAGTTTTATTATGAAAATTTTTAAACATATACAAAAATAGAAAGTACAAAGAACCTTGTTCTGGTTACCTAGTGCCACTCTGACAAGGATGTACCACAAATGGGATGCCCTTAACAAACAGGAGTTTATTCTCTTACAATTTGGAGACTTTAAGTCCAAGTTCAAAGTGCCAAGCTCTAGGGGCTGGGTGAAAGCCCCTCAACCTTGAGGTTCAGCTCTGCCTCCACCTCCTAGCCCACTGAAGATAGAGGCTTTTCTTCACTCCTACAGCTGCTGGCTGCTGAGGCTGCCAAGCCCAAGGTTGACAAATAAAAAGGCACAGTCCCAATGTTACCAAACCACATGGCAGGCCATTAATTCAAGTCCATTGTAAGTCCCAAGATCGGCAGAACATGGCAGGCTGCTGAACAATGACACGGCTACATGCAGGGTCCAAGCGTGCCATAAGCTAAAGACCATCCCAAAGCTGCTTCTTATATATGAGAAGCAGGCCACATACCCAAAGCAGCAACTCAGCTGCTTGTGGTAGATCCCACCATGGAGTTGATTACCAGTCTCATCATGGAGAATAACTACCACTAACTGCCCAGCCACTCAACCAGGCCCACCCAAGTTGACACACAAACATAACCACCACAAACCTCCATGTAGCCATCACTCACCTTCAACACCATTTTACCAAACTGGTGTTAACTCTTCAAACTTCTCCATTTTTTATGTTATTGAAGTATTTTAAATCCAAGACATCAGATGATTTTGTCCTCAAATATTTCATTATGCATTTCAAAAAATGAAATAGACATCTTCTTCCATAGCCACAGTGCCATTATCACATGTAACAAAATTAATAGTAAGTCTTTCATACCATCTAAAACCCAGCTCATGTTCAAATTTGCTCAATCATCTAAAATGTGTTCTTGAAGTTGGTTTGTCTTAATCAGGATCCAAGGAAGGTCCAGTCATTGTATTTGGTTTATTATGTCTCTTAAATGTTGTTTAAATCCTTTTTAATATATATGCTTACCTTTTATTAATGTCTACTATGTGCTAAGTAAAGAAGCTCTGGTGGTGCAGTGCCTAAGGCATTTGACTTCTAACCAGAAAGTTGGTGGTTCAAACCCACCAGGCGCTCCATGAAAGGAAGATGGAGCAATCTATTTCCATAAAGATTTATTGCCTTGGAAATCCAATGGGGGTCTCTATGAGTCAGAATTGACTTGATGGCAATGAGTTTTGTTTGTGTTTTTGTTTTTTCCTGATGTACTAAGTACTGTAACAAGTGGCTGGGAACACTAAGATGAATATGGCAGCCCTGCTGTGGTGTAGTACCTAAGGCATTTGACTGCTAACCAGAAGGCTGGTGGTTCAAACCCACCAGCCCCTCCTCAGAAGGAAGACTGGGCACTCTACTTCTATAGAGATACTCACTGCCATCGAGTTGGATCCAACTCATAGTGACCCCTTCTTCGAAAATACAAGAAGGGGTCGCTATAAGTCAGAATCAACTCCACAGCAGTGAGTTTGGTTTTGGTTTGCCTTCCGAGAGTATACAGTCTCAAAATTAATAAATGCCTATAATCATAATAATGATCTTTTATATAATACTTTTTTAAACTGTTATTGTGATTTGAGTGAAGGTTTACAGAGCATATCAGTTTTCCATTCAACAGTCATACACATTTTGTTTCCTGCCATTGTTATAAAGTAATAACAGCACTCATCCCTTTCCTCCCTGTGTTTCCTATATAGCACTTTATCATTCACCAAATAGTGTAACAGACATTATCCCAGCTAGGAAATAGTATAATTCTCAACTTACACCCACAAAACCTCACATGCAGGGAACCCACAATTTAGCAGATTGGAAGCCTTGGGAAAGTCACCTAGGATCTCTGTAAAGTACAGTTGTTTTCAACTCCAAGGATTTATCATTAATATTGCATATTGATTGTTATGAATCACTGGTCCTCTTAAAAATAAGAATAATTGCCTATTTCATCATCATCATAATAATGGAGGGAGCTCTGGTGGCGTAGGGCCTAAGGCATTTGACTGCTAACCAGAAAGCTGGCGGTTCAAACCCACCAGCCACTCCTTGGAGGGAAGATTGGGCAATCTACTCCAACACCACTTCAGAAACCCAAGGAGGGGTCGCTATGAGTCGAATCGACTTGAGGACAGTGAGTTTTATTTTTTTGGATCATAAGCACTCCCAGGCATATATATGTTATATATATATATGTTAAGCTGTTGTTATTCATTAGGGAATTTATTGCCTTATGAGATGGGTGCTATTATTATCCCCATTTACATATGAGGAAACTGAGAGTTGGGAAGGTTGGATGACGTGCTCAGGAATCCACAGTTAGAGAACAGAGAAGTCAGGACTCAAGCCTAATCCATCTGACTTTGAAGTCTAGGTTTGTAGCCACAGAATCTGCTGTAGAGTAGGAGCTCAGTAAGTCTGTGTAGAATAATTCAGTATCTGCCCCTTCCTATTCTTTCCAGAGTTCACTTCCCTGTGGCTGGCTCCTACCACTGGCCCAAAACAGGTCTCCGCTTTGTAGTGAGAGGGGCAGTAACCATTGAGATTGAGTTCTGTGCCTGGGACCAGTTCTGGGATGGGACGGTTCTACAGCACAGCTGGATGGTTGCAGGACCTCTGTTCAACATCAAGGCTGAGCCAGGAGCTGTGGAAGCTGTTTACCTCCCTCACTTTGTGGCCCTCCAAGGTAAGTAAGGGAAGGATAAGGGGAGGAAGGGTGGTGAAAATAATGGACCTGAAAAGGGCTACAGGACATCTTGGGGAGGAGTTTCATGGCTTCCCTTGAGAAACCGAGAGATTATGGAGGTGGAGGTCAGAAGGTCTTTCATTCCACCAGCCAAAACCAAAGTCACTGCCATCAGGTCGATTTTGACTTATAGCACTCCCTCCTTGGGTTTCTGAGGCAGTATCACTATCGAAGTAGGTTGCCCCATCTTCCTTCTGAGGAGTGGCTGGTGGGTTTGAACCACCAGCCTTCTAGTCAGCAGTCAAATGCCTTAGGTCCACAGTGATCTGGATATATCTTTTTTTGAAGCATTTGTCTCCCAGTCTCATAATTATTTTTATCTGAGCTTACTTATAAGTCTCCCTCTGGTAGCATAGTGCCTAAGGCACTTGACTGCTAAGCAAAAGGCTGGAGGTTCAAACCCACAAGCCACTCCTCGGAAGGAAGGTTGGGCAATCCTACTTCCGTAGTGATACTGCCTCGGAAACCCAAGGAGGGGTTGCTATGAGTCGGGGCCGACTCGACGGCAAATAACAACAACAACAACAAATAGAAACCTATCTCTGCAATTACTAACATTTATTAAGTGTTCTTTGCATAAATCGTACCACTCAGGTTCCTAGCAAGAAGCAGATGATATATTTGTTAATATTTTTTAACAAATGTTTCAGAAACAGGACAACTATTTAAAGTTGACTAACAGAATGTTGGAATACCTAGGGACTGACAACTGTGGGAAGACATTACTACTCTACAGGCAAGAAAATAAAACAATGCCACTACAGTCCAGTTAAGAGCTAGAGCCATGAAAGAGGGGCTTCCCCAAAGGAAATGTAGTCATAATGGGTAATATAGTTATCCTGACCTCTCTGTCATCTCCAAAAACTTCCTATTGATAAGGTTCCAAGAAACATAGCTCAAGTCAAAAACCATACATGAGAACCACCAGAAAAATTAGAGATTCTAAATTAAATTAAAGGCTTCAGGCACTGGAATTATCAGACACAGAACATAAAATAAGTATGTTTCATATGCTTAAAGAAATAAATAGTCTTTAAAATATGAACAAGAAGAAAGAAATCATTTAAAATGATCAACTCAATATGGAAACAAATTGAAGAAAATTTTTAAAAAGATGAAGTGGCATGGAGGAGAGTGTGAGAAGGCTTAATATACAACTAATTGTAGTTCCAGAAGGATTTGATAGAGAGAATGGAGGCAATGCCATAGTCAAAGAAATAATGGCCAAAAAGTTTTCAGAACTGCTGAGAAATATGACTTCTTCTCAAAATCAGAAATCCCAATAAACCCGAAGCAGAAAAAAATAGCACTAGACCCATTATAGCAAAATGACAGAATACCAAAGAGCTTTACAGCAGTCAGAGAAAGAAAAAAATAGATTACTTAGAAAAGTTCAGGAGATAGGCTAATGACTGGGAAGCAGTAGACAACTGAGTATCTTCAATGGACTGAGAAAATAAATGTTAATCGGGAATTGTAAACACAGAGAAATTATTTTTTAAGAAGAAAGTGAAAAAAAATCAACATTTAAAACTAACTAAAACCAAGAGAGTTTTCACAAACAATTCCTTACTGAAGGAAATTCTAGAGGATGTATCTCAAACAAAAGGCAATCATCCCACATGGAATGTCTGAGATGCAAGGTAGAAGAATCACCAAGGTACTGAGGCATATGTGCATAATCTAACAGAACACTGACTGGATAAAGTACCAATAATAATGTCTCATTTGTGGGCAATGAAAAAAGGAAGAGAACTACAATACCAACAACAAATAAGACAGCAAATAAGAACGTTGAAGAATTTTAAGATCTTCGTATAGTTTAGAAGGAGGATGAATGAAGGCTGAAGTTCAGTCAGGTACAACAGCACTACTGTTCAGGTTGTTAAAATACTGAAATACTTTTGAGTATTAATAGGTGAAGAGAAATTCTCTCCTCATTGAGACTAAAGATCACGTAACAACGTCATCCAGTATTGGCCACAGAGGTGAGTGATGAGGCCTGAATGTAGTGGAGGTATGGGTGGTGGTGTAGGCAGCACTGTACTGGACCGGCCCACGTGGGCAGAAGGGTCAGCACCAGCACAGCATAGGGCAGGGGCTATGGCACAGGGCTCTCTGGGTCAGGCCATGTGGGAAGAGTTGGTATCAGGTACAAACACAATCGATGCTGGTGCCAAGAACCTAATGTCTGTCAGTTTAATAGGAAAGTAGTCACAGGAATCTGACGGTTTCCTATGTCAGATCATGACTCAGACAAGAGCTTCATTTAACTGATGATAAAATGATTCAATAAACAATTTTGTTACAGCTTCTCTCCATCAGAAACATTTTTTGGTGGTTTTAAATATTAAAAATTTTAATTATGAAATATTACAAACATACAGAAAATAATAAAGCAGACACCTAGATACCACTGAAATGAAACAGCTTAGTATTTTCCCATATGCATGTCAATTCTCTCTCTCTTTAAAGAAATATCATGTTTGAGATACAGGTAAAGCCATTTCCTCTTGGCCTCCATCCATTGTAAACATTTTTATAATACATATAATTTATATAATAAAAGGAGATACTTTTTTAATTTTTCATTTATATATTATTTTATAGTACTATACCAATAGTTAAATATATTTACTATATCCTGCAGGTAAAGATATTGATTAATATTAGCCTTTAATTATGCATATTAAAATATTAGGGTGATTAATCCTTGTTAATTAATTGTTACAAGGAATCATAATTATCATAATAGTCATAATACTTAATAACAATGAATAATTTTATTCCTTATTATAATGATTTACAAACTAGTGGAAAGGAGAAACTGGAATAAGAAAAATAAAAAGCTAAGAACTGCCCAGTACCCAAGACCAGGAAAGGCTCATTTGTGGAAGCCACAAAGGTTCAGCAAATGATTCAAACTGCACACCTGGGGAGAGTGAGGGGGCAGGGGAAGTAGAGGCCAGAACCAAAGGGATAGCAGTGTCACCCTAGGCCAGCTAGAGGCAGGGGGGAAGACTAGGGACCAGGCAGGGTCATGCAGGCATTGTCTAGGCAAGGTACCAGAGGAAAGCAAGAGAGGAAGGAGATAAAAGATGCTGCCCGAGGCCCGTTCACATGGGACAAAGTTAAGCAGTTGTCATTAACGGCTCAGATAACAAGCTAGGACAAGTTCTTTTTCCCTACATGACAATTTACAAAATACGAATATAGCCACTCCAACCATCATCCTGCCTCTTCCACAAAGGAAGACCTGGGCCCAGGGGGTCTGGGTGCTCTGTCAGGGAGAGAGGGACTTGGCCAATGGACTATAACCTATGTCCTGCTGACCCACGGTAAAGGCTACACCAACTTCCATCCTCACCCCCGACCTGCTCAAGCCCATGTCCCCCAGCCTTCCCTAGACTACATTCTAAACTTCATCCTGTAACTGGACAGGACTTACTATTCTCTTTAGATTCTGTACACAGAGCAAGAGATAAAATACACAAAGTTTGCTATTAGTTGGTACTGCCATGCCCAGCTCAGGAAACCAAGCCCTGGAGTTGGGCAGGGCCCCTTCCAGGAATCCCAGTTGCCCGCTGTCTGGGCCACAGACATCCTGGGAACCATGCCCTAACATAGGTCTAATTTAGGACTTGGGCACTGGCTGATTCTTCACCCTGATGTCCTACATTGACTTATTAACATTCCATGGTAAGCTTCTTCCACTGGATAGAATTAGAGCTTTTTAGCATCTCAGCTTCATTGCAGGACCTAGTTGACCTCGCCACTCCGGGCAGCCTAACCCTCCCACAGGATTGGCTACATCAGCTGTGGGGTGCAGTGCAAAATGAAAATATGGGATCTCTTGTTCAAAAATTATCAAGAATTTCAAGATGGCAACCAAACCAAAAATCAAACCATTTGGTGTCAAGTCATTCTGATTCATGGCAACTCTACATGTTAGTGAATAGAACGGCTCCATAGGGTTTTCTTGGCTGTAATCTTATGGAAGCAAATTGCCAGGCCATTCTTCCACAGTATTGCCAGGTAGGTTTGAACCACCAACCTTTAAGTTAATAGATGAGTGCAAAACCATTTGTGCCACCCAAGGACCTAAGACAGCAAGAGCAGAGCATTAAGCCCCAAGTGCAGGGCTCTTCTAAGCAAAGGGCCCTGAGTGACTAGATAGTCCACATACCTATGAAGCTGGCCTTGCCTTTCTGGACCCTTCAACCTCCTTCCCACTTCTATCTCCTTCTGCACTCACAGACCCCTGCCCTCCACACTGACTTCTTCCCAGAAAATGTGGTTGCTCACTTTCACTTCTGTTCCGCTCCCTCCACTCAGTGCTGCTCATGGATAGTTCATTCTCCTGCTTCTCCCTCTCTCTTTCTCTCCCTTTCCCCACCCACCGGGAGCTCACCTGGACTAAATCACTGGGAACCAAAATGATATCCCTCATACCTCAAAACTGCTGGTTCTCTGGGATCAACATCTTCTAAACCTTGCAATGTAGAGTCCAGAAACTCCTCAGGTTAAGCAAAATGCATCTTAAAAGATATTCATTATCATCTCACCCAAGCAATAATAGCAAAGATTGAAAACAGCAAATGCTGGCAAGGGTATGGAGAGTTTGGGATTCCCATGCACTGCTGGGGGGACTGTAAATGGTGCAATCACTGTGGAAAATGGTATGGCACTTCCTTAAAAAGTTGGAAATAGAAATACCATTTGATCTAGTAATCACACTACTAGTTATATATCCTAAAGAAGTGAGAGCCAGGACACAAAAAGATAGATGCACACCCATGTTCATCAGGGTTGTATCCTTTCACCATACTTATCTGATCTGCATGCTGAGCAAATAATCCAGGAAGCTGGACTATATGAAGAAGAACACGGCATCAGGATTAAAGGAAGACTCATTAACAACTTGCGATGTGCAGGTTGACACAACCTTGCTTGCTGAAGGTGAGGGTGACGTGAAGCACTTACTGATGAAGGTCAAAGACTACACTCCACAGTATGGATTATGCTTCAACATAAAGAACATTAAAATCCTCACAACTGGACCAATAAGTAGCACCACAATCATGGTATAGTGAATTACTTGGTATGGCTTTTCTAGCCACAGTCTTTATAACTCCCACCAGATTACTGGATGGGGCCATACAAATAAGGTGTATGGAAGGCTAATGCAAGAATTGGTTAGGTTTGCCACCCTGCTGGCCTTAAAATGAACCCTCCTAGAAGCAGAGGGAGGGATCTCACTGCCATCAGGAGAGAAGAGCTGGAGGTGAAGTGGTGCACATCCTCGGACCCAAAACCCCTACAGTGGGCCTCCTTGGTAGAGAGACACCCAGCTGAGATGGCGGCAGTGGAACCAAGAGCACAAGACAGAGCGTGGGCTCTCCGGTCCACAGAGCGAGAAAGCTGAGTGCCTTTGGGCAGGAGGCTTGCTGGCAGGGTGGGGTGCACCTACGTGTACCTATTGACAAAGGTAAAAGAGCTTCGTAACACTTGCCTGAGTGGGGCAGAGGCCAGGCCAAGAGGCCAAGGGCCAGAGAGGAGTGTCTGAAGGCATAGCAAAGGGGAGACTATCTTGATCGAAGAAGTGTATCCTCAGCATTCCTGAACGTGAGTTGTAGCTTGTTACTTCCCTAATAAACCCCATAATTGTGAGTATTGTCTGTGAGTTCTGAGCAGCCACTGCAATGAATTACCAAATCCAGCAGAGAAGTAGTGAGTGCCTTGGGAAGAAGGGCTGGTGTCAGAACTGGTGAAAAGGCTGGAGACTGGCTGCATGTCTGGCCTCATAGAAATAAGCCTTGAGCTGTTGATAGTGACTCTGTTTCCCCTTTTTTAAATTGGAGAAAGTCAGAAGATGCTGCATCTATGTCCTTTTAGAAAAGATGTAATGAATGAAATCTTGTCAAAGCACTCACTCGTCTATGCCAAGAAATTTTCAAGACAGGTATCTGGCCAACCAATTAGAAGAGATCCAAAAAAAGGTGATCCAACAAAATTCAGAAGTTATCAAACGGTATCTTTAATATCACATGCAAGTAAAATATTGCTGAAAATGATATAAAAATAGTTGCAGCAGTACACAGACAGGGAACTGCCCGAAATTCAAGCTGGATTCAGAAGAGGATATGGAATGAGGAATATCATTAGTGATATCAGATGGATCTTGGCTGAAAGCAGAGAATACCAGAAAGATGTTTACCTGCACTTTACTGACTATGCAAAGGTATTCAACTGTGTGGGTCATTACAAATTATGGATAACATTGTGAAGAATGTTATATATAGACCAAGAGGCTGCTGTTTGAACAGAACAAAGAAATACTAAATGGTCTAAAATCAGGAAAGGTGTATGTCAGGTTTATATCTCTTCACCATACTTATTCAATCTTCAAGCTAGCAAATAATCAGAGAGTGGGGACTATATGAGGAAGAATGCAGCATCAGGATTGGAGGGAGACTCACTAACAACCTACAATATACAGATGACACAAAATGACTCTTGCTAAAAGCCGAGAGGATTTGAAGCACTTACTGATGAAAATCAAAGACTACAGCCTTCAATATGAATTAAACTTCAACATAAAATAAAAAATTCTCACATCTGGACTAATAAGCAACATCATGATAAATGGAGAAAGGACTGAAGTTGCCAAGGATTTCATTTTACTTGCATCCATAATCAATGTCCATGGAAGCAGCAGTGAAGAAATCAAATGACATATTGCATTGGGAGAATCTGCTGCAAAAGACTTCTTTAAAGTATTAAAAAACAAACACGTCACTTTGAAGATTAAGTGTGCCTGACCCAAGCCATGGTATTTTCAGTTGCCTCATCTCCATGTGAAAGCTGGGTAATGAATAAGGAAGACTAAAGAAGAATTGATTCATTTGAATTATGATGTTGGCAAAAAATACTGAATATACCATGGAATGCCAGAAGAACAAACAAATCTGTCTTGTATGAAGTACAGCCTGGATGCTCCTAGGAAGTGAGGATGGCAAGATTTTGCCTCTCATACTTTGATCAAGAAGGACTAGTCCCTGAAGAAGGACATCATCCTTGGTAAAGTAGAGGGTCAGTGAAAAAGAAGACCCTCACTGTGATGGATTGGCACGTTGGCTGCAACAGTGTGCTGAAACATGCAATGACTATAAGGCTGGTGCAGGACCGGACAGAGTTTCGTTCTGTTGTGCACAGGATCACTACGAGTCAGAACCGACTCAACTGCACCTAACAAAAACCTAACTGCACCTAACATAGCTCTACTCTTACATACTCATGGGGTTGCCATGAGTCAAAGTGACTCAATGGCAACTGGGTTGGTTTTTTGGTTTTATAGACCATAACTACCACATATAAAAAGAGTCAACTGCATATCCACAGAGCCTGGCACATTGTAAAAGCTCAATAAACTTTTGTTTATTGAGAGGCCCTGGGTCTCAGATTCTGCTGAGGAATCTGTGGAAATGCTCCTACCCTGCGATGGGTTATTCTGAATATTCCTAATAAAAACCAAACCCACTGCCATCAAGTCGGATCCGACTCATAGCGACCCTTCCTTGGGTTTCCAAGGCAGTATCACTATGGAAGTAGATTGCCCAACCTTCCTTCCGAGGAGTGGCTGGTGAGTTTGAACCGCCAGCCTTCTGGTTAGCAGTCAAATGTCTTAGGAATTACGCCACCAGAGCTTCTAAATATTCCTAATAAAACCAGCCAAAGGGAACTCAAGGGAGAAATGCCTGGTCCTTTGATCAATGATACTTGCCCAGTCACCACTCAAGCTTTTCCCTTTCAAACTAGCATTTCCCCTGTTGCTTCCCTTCTCTCTCCAATCTATCAGCACAAATATGCTGTCATGCACCAGGATTGGAGAAAGTGATTCTGTTACAGTCTGTGGAAGTGTACAAGAAGTAGGGTGACCAACTCACCATAGTGCCTAAGGCATTTGACTGCTAACCAGAAGGCTTGCGGTTCAAACCCACCAGCCACCCCTTGGAAAGAAGATTGGGCAATCTACTTCTGTAGTGATACCACCTCAGGAAACCCAAGGAGGGGTCACTATGAGTCACTATGAGTCAGATCTGACACGATGGCAGTGAGTTTGGTTTTTTGGGCTTTTCCTGGTTTTAGCACTGGAAGTCCTGCATCCAGAAAGCCCCTCAGTCCTGTGCAAACTGGGACAGTTAATCACCCTAATAAGAAGGTAAGTTAGAGACGCACAGTACATTCCAGAATTCAGCCAAAATTAGCTCGGCACAGAGCATCCGTCAGCATCAGGCACAGGGTGCAGGGATCTAGTCCTAGGGCTGTTGGTGGACCTAGTCCTAGTGCCTAGTGTTGTGGCCTTAGGAAAATCCCTTCCCTCTCAGGGTTTCAATTCCCCCATATGGACAAATAAGGAAGTTCCAATATGGTAGAAGGTAAGGGGATGTCACTTAATGTCACTGATGGCAGAGCAAACTTGCTTTATCTCCTTGAAAGCAATTTGGCAAAACACAGCAAGTCATAAAAATGTTCACACCCTTTCATACACTTTTCTCACCCTTTGTTACTTACTGATTCTAAGGCAATAACCCAAGGGAAATAGAAAAACTGTCTATAGAAATATGTGCGTTACAGTACTATTTGTCATGATGAGAAGTTGAAAACAATCTCCCTGCTGGAAAAAGAGCCTAACGGTTAATTACGGGATGCTGCATCCACCAGCAGAAATCATATGCAGCTACTAGAAAGGTCTGACAACTGCTTGTGACAGTTTAAACTGATGAGGAAAAAGCAGGACACAAAGCTACGTGTACTATGATGAAAATGTGAGAATGTGTTCCTGCAGAGAAAGTCTGTAATGGGAAAGGAAAGGTAGGGAACAGTTGTATTATTTGATTGGTGGGGAATCAGTGGCCCCTCAGAGTCCACAAAAATGCAGGTAACCATATATTATATATATGAGGCTGGCTTGTGTTTGAGCTTGACTCAAGGAGATTCTTGTGGTGCTCGTTCCTGAGACTGTGTCGGCCACAGCCTTCAAAGGCCCCAAACTTCAAAGGTACCTTCCCCATGGGGAGTTCCCCCAAGAAGTCTGCTGTGCCTAAGCCTTGGAAGCCTGCTACACAGCCAGAACCTGATTCAGCAAGGATGCTCAATCTACACCTCTTGAATCCATTCTCTGACAGAAGGCCATGTGGACACCTCCGTGTTCCAAGTGGCCCACTTTAAAGAGGAGAGGATGCTTCTGGAGAAGCCAGCCAGAGTGGAGCCATCTTCTGCAGTCCTGGAAAACCCCAGCTTCTCTCCCATGGGACTTCTACTGAGAATGATCCATGCTGCCCTGAGCTTCATCCCCATCACCTCCACCGTGTTGCTCTACTACCATCTCCACCCTGAGGAAATCACCTTCCACCTCTACCTGATCCCTAGTGACTGCTCCATTCAGAAGGTGACTCTTAGAGCCAGAAAGGCTAGGCCAGGGTGGGCTCATGGCAAACATGCAATGCAATCAGAAAACCCCCTAGATGGGTCTTCACCTGGGAGCAGGGATTGGCTTCTTTTAAGTGGGAACCTTGACAAGACCCATTGATTCTGCTTCTTGCTCAGCATAGACTTGTCTCCATCCCTCCACTCAGGTCTCCCCTAGCTGGACTTGCCACTCCATCGCTATCTCTGGATGACTTTTTGCAGCCTCTTTCCAGGACCCAAAGGATGGGAGGGTTCCTTGCCCAGAGTGCTAGCCTTTCTCCATTCTCTCTTCTTCTCTAGCAATGCCCCTATCCCTACTCTGAAAATGACAGAGGCCAAAAGTGGGGCTTTCTGTACAACAGTGCCTAGAGGTCAGGGATGCCAGGGTGCTATAGCTCCTTCCCCATCACAGACACTTGATGCACCTCTCATTTTATTCACACCAGACTCCATAGAGATGAATATCTGAGCCAGACACCCCTCCTTCCTACCCTTTAACCAGTGCTCTGTATGTTCCTTAGGCCATAGATGATGAAGAAAAGAAGTTCCAGTTTGTGCGATTACACAAGCCACCCCCACTGACTGCACTCTACATGGGCTCCCGCTACACTGTGTCCAGTTCAAAGAATCTAGAAATAATCCCCGAGGTGAGCAGCCCAGGTGTTTGTCTCCTCACCAGGATTAGAAATCCTGCTTGGGAATACCATGTGAAGCAGGCATCAGAGCTTTCCCAGGGATGAGGTGAATTGGGGTTGGGCAGAAACTGAGTGGGATTTGAGGTGAGCAGGAATATTTCAAAGATTGGTGTGTGGTTGGGGGTGCAGTTGTGGCAGATCATATTTAGGATAGGGAGAACAATGAGTTTTCTAGGGCTGCTGTAACAAAATACCACAAACTATGGTGGCTTCAAACAACAAAAATTTATTTTTGAACAGTTCTTGTTGTTGTTGTTGTTATGTGCCGTCAAGTTGGACCCAACTCATAGCAACCCCTCCTTGAGTTTCTGAGGAGGTATCACCATGGAACTAGATTGCCCCATCTTCCTTCCGAGAAGTGGCTGGCAGGTTTGAACGGCTAGACTTCTGGTGAGCAGTCAAGTGCCTTAGGCACTATATCTAGAGGCTATAATTCTGATATCAGGATGTCAATAGTGCTAATTCCTTCTGAAGACTCTATGCCTTTCTCCTAGCTTCTGGTAATCGCCAGCAATTCTTGGCATCTCTTGGCCTGTAGTAGCATAACTCTAATCTCTGCTTTTATATTCACATGGTCATCTTCCCCAAATGTCTGTCTCTGTGCCTTCTTCTGTCGTAAAATGAGCTGTTGAACCATCTGATATCATAATGGCTCTGCAGTAATATTTAAGACTCAGGACAGGATGCATTGGCCAACACAGGCAATAATCAAAAATAAAATGACTATTAATTTTTGCAATGGGTATCAAAACCAGGGATGTCCCAGAATCCACACGGGTCTGTGTTAGAAATCCAAGTAGCTGCTTTGTTTTCTCCCTAGTCACAAGCTGCTACTTGCCCTGTAGTATTTATATAGGTGCAATGGGAAAATTTGCTATAGAACAGATTCCCCTTTGTCTCACTATTAAATTTTTGTCAACAGGGTCAGGTAGAGAATGATAGATCCACCAATTTAACTAAGTTTAATTAGATGTGACTAAGTTCAGAGCATTGGTTATCATCTAGGAAAAACACATTAGAGGATTTTGTTCTTGCTTAAGTGCTAGAAGGAGACCATAGATGAGTCAAAAATAATAGGATGGAGGTAAGGGAGATCAGATTAGTCTTTCAGAGGGTGTCAAAGTAGAATAATAAGTAAAAATTATGTTAGAATAAAGGGATAGGAAAGGGTGTTGAAGGATCAAAAGAATTAATCTTGTTCTTCTTGAACAGAAGGTGTTCATATCTGAAGTCAAGATTCTTAGGAATCCTCAGTTTAAGGTCTCCAGATGGAAAAAAAGCCCAGTAGTTAGGAGGAATGGAGTCCCTCAGTGATGCAAATGGTTAAGCACTCAACTACTAACCAAAAGATTGGCACTGCTATTCTACCCAGCGGTAACTTGGAAGAAAGAGACAGCAATCTACCTCTGAAAGGTCACAGCCAGTATGTTGCCTTGAGTCAGAGTTGACTTGATGGCACCTGTTTTTAGCTTAGTTAGAAGAAAATGGTGTATATCTTTTCAGTTGGAAGACATGAATCCAAGGATCAATACTCTGGAGTTGTACTGCTGTGTCAGTAGTTAATAAGGCATGTGATAGTTGGAGCTGTGTGTCAACTTGGCTGGACCACAATTCTGTGTGGTTTAAGCAATTGTGATGTGGGTTGTTCCAATGATGGGATCAGATGTATATGTTTTGAGCAGCCAATCCATTGAAAGTGGGCTGCTTCTAGCATATTTATGGACATCCTGGGAAAAGTGACACTCTTCTGTGGATCGGGATTCTGCCTACAACTGTAAGTGAGTGAACAATCCACCATTCGGCCTGAAGATCTTGGATTCATCATTCGTTGGAGTCACCAGCCAGTATGCTGCCTGCCAACCTTGAGCTCCTCAGCCCCTGTAGCTGCGTGAGTCGGGAAAACCCTCCAGCTTGATGTGTGATCCAAGAACTTGGGACTTGCCAGCTTCTATAAGTGTGTGAGCCATTTTCCTAAGATAAATTTCTCTTTCTCTATATATATAAGCTTTACTGGTTTTGTTTCTCTAGAGAATCCAGTCTAACACAAGGGATGAGACACATGATTCAGTCATTCAACAAATATTTATCAAGTGCCAAGTATGTGCTGTCCTCAGCACAATGGATATTTCAGTAAAGAAGACACACCAATCCCTACCCTTGTGAAGATTTCATCCTGGTATGATGAGACCTACAGTAAATAAAAAATAAAAATAAAAATAATGAGTGATCAAGTACCACAAAGGGCTATGAAAAAAATAAAAGAATGGAATGCAAGACAATGACTTGGGCTACTTTAGACTGGGTGGTCAGGGGAAGACTCCCTGAGGAGGTGAAATTGAGCTGAGCCCTGAGTGACAAGAAGCATTCGGGCACCTGGAAATGGTAGAGTATTTTAGGCAGAAGGAACATGTACAGAGATATAGAGGTTGGAGAAAACTTGTCACCTTCAGGTGACAAAAAGGCCAATGGAGCAGGGCTTAGTGAATACAGCAAAAGAGGAGTGGCAGATGGGGTCAGACAAGAGGTACAGGTCTCCAAAGGCTTCTTATCCTGTTGGCTTTGATATAGAGTTTGGGTTTTGTTCTAATTGCAATAACAAGCCCTTGCAGGGTCTGAAATAGGTTATAGCAAGACCTGATTTACTTTCATAAAGAAACCTCTGGCTGCTGGATGGAGAATGGATGGATAATAAGGGGGAAAGAGTAGAAGCAGAGAGATAATTTGAAAGGCTGTTGCAAGAATTAATGGTGGCTTAACTAGAGAGGTGCAGTGGAAAAGTTGATGGATTTGGGGTGTATTTTGGAGATAGAACCAACAGGACTTGGTGGATTGGCTGTATGTGGAGAAAGAAAGGAAGGAGTCAAGGATGATGCCTAATTTTGGAACTTGAGTGCTCAGTAGATGGTGGTGCCATAAACTGAGTCTGAGGAAAAAGAGAGATGTGTGGAAGACAGTTGGGCATCAAGAGTTCTGTCTTGGATGTAATTTAGGAAAGAAGGTGGACATCAATTTCCTATTGATTGAATGTGGGTAAAGTTTAGGATCTATTGAGAAGACAGGCTTTGGGCTAGAGGAATGAAGGTTTTACCTCAAGATGGGGGGAACGGAGGAAAAAGGACTTGGTTTAAGATGGAGGGAGAAGAATCTGGTTTAGGATGTGTGTGCATTGCTTTTAAGGTCAAGCCTTGTTCTGAGTCAGGATTGTAGGAAATTAGGAAAAGAGCAGTATCTGAAGTCTCCAATGGATTCCAATACAGGACTGAACTGGTGTCTCTGTGGGATTGAGGAGGCCGAAAAGACGTTGGGCACAAAAAGGCCTCACTTGCATGATTAATAGTGGCTTCTCCTGTGGTTACTCATTCTCTTTCTCATGCTCTCTCTCTAGGAACTGGAGCTCTGCTATCGAAGCCCTGGACAATCCCAGCTCTTTTCTGAGTTCTACGTTGGCCACTTGGGATCAGGAATCAGGCTAGAAATGAGAGATAAGAAAGATAGGATTGTAGTATGGAAGACCTTGGTGAAAGCAGGTAAAGCTAGGACAAACCCAGGGAACTCAAAGGTGATAAAGAGAATAAAGAAAGAAAGTCAATTAAAGTGTGTGTGTGTGTGTGTATGTGTGTGTGACAGGGAGACAGTTTGTATTATCACAATTTACTGACAAGAAGACATATCCCAGAGAAGTTAAGTGACTTCTTCACAGCTGGTATGACCAGAATTTAAATTCAAGTCAGTCTGACTCCAAGTTCCATGATCTTTCCCATGCACCATGTTGTTTCCACACTGTCCTTTTAAATTAATATATTTTTACTTCCACAAGGCCTTTGGCAAAGTTTCTCATGATAGCTTGGATGTGAGACGAAAGGGTAACAACTAGGTGGCCACATGGTTGTGTGGATAAAGCCACCTTTGGCAACACCAGAGACATTCTCCTCTGGATCATTCAAATATTCTCAGAGCAGACAATAGAGAATCAGATAGGAATGGGGGAACTGTATGACCTCTTAGTCCAGCACCTCTTAAGAACCAAAATCTCCTAAATATCCCTTTCAGGGGCAATCAACCCTTTTCAACTGTTGATACACAGTAGGGTTGCCTCTTGAGCTACTACAAACAGGCTTCCCAATGTGGAAGAAGAAGGAAGAAGTTCACTCAGTCTTGGTTTGGGTGCAGCCACAGAAGGAGAACTAACTAAGCCCCAACATCAGACCTGGGTTTGAGTCTTGCTCTGGCAGTTACTTGCTGTGTGATCTTGAGAAAATTACTTATATCGTTTGAGTCCTGGTTTCCTTATCTGTAAAATAGGGATCCTGCCTACTTTGCAGGATTATGGCAAAGATTAAATAAAATGGTATATATACATGCCTCATACAATGGTCCTTAAGAAAGAGTAGCAATATTATTGCTGGTCCTCATATTAAGCCAATATCTTCCTCTTATCAGTCTTAATTCTGCCTCGTGGAGCTCACAGAAGTCTAACTCCTTCCCGATGAGAAAGTCTTTCAGATACCTGAAGACTGAGATCATGGCTTTCCTTAAGTCTCCTCTTATGCAAGTTAAATATCTGCATCTCCTTCCATCATTCCTCTTATATTTTGATTTTTAAATTGGTTTTTCAATTCTTTGCCATTCCAGCTTCTTTCCTCAGCAGATGCTCCCGTTTGTGGATGGAGTCAGGATTGACTCCAAGATTGCCCAGTTAGCAGAGAGGGTGTGGAACACCCTCTTTCCTCCATCCAAATGAACCCAGTGCTCCCAATAATGCAACCTGAGCTCCCATCTCCTTGTGCCTGCCTTGCCACACTATTAGATCACATTGAACTTGGGATCTACCCAAACTCTCAGGCCTTGTTCATGTGAGCTCCTGTGAACTCCCCCTTCCTTTCTTCATGCAAGTAATCATTTAAGCCCCTTTAGTTTTCATTGTTGGGTGTTTTTTTTTTTTTCCCACCCTATTAAAATTTACCCATTACTTCCATGTGCTAAGATTTATTTGACATTGATTCTGACATCCAAATTCAGGATAAACATATTTGCTCAGTGTAAGACTTGAAGGCCAAACAAGGATAGGAGTTAGATTTCTGCTCAGAATAAGGAGATCTCAAATAGTTTAAGCTATTTAGCAAAGAGACTTGGCTAGTTCTTCACCAGGAGTTCTGATCAAGCCAAGACTGGATCACATCATGTCTGGGGTATTGTGAGGAAAAAAACATTGGTGTCATTCAGATGCCTTCTCTCTACATTTGTCTATGACCATGGCCTCTGGGCCTCAGTTTCCCCATGCATAAGGAAAAGATTCACCTAGATGATCTCTAAGGTCTCTTCTAACCTCCCAGATTTTATCAGAATTTGTCTTTAGTTTGTGCACAGAATCAAGGCATCTCAGAAGTGGATGGGTGTTTTGAGATGTATTGTGTGTGTTAGTAACTAGTGCTGCCACAGATGCTCTTCATCTCTTTTTCTTCCAGGAGATCTGAAACTTGCAACTATGCTGGTCCCTCCAGACCTGACAGGTTAGTAAGAGCTGTTAGAGAACACAGTAGCCAGTGGCAGTGTTGAGGTGTCTTATTCTGGAGGGAAGGAAAGAGAGGAAAGGAAGGGACTCTATTATTGCAAACCTTGCAAGGGATAGGGCTTGGAGAGTCAGTGTGCAACAAAAGTCCCTCACTGTCTTTCCATATTGCCCAGCCAAAGAGGTCTTGGCACCTCTCCTTGGACAACCTTAAATGTCCCTGTCATGACCACCCCGTCCATTGCCATCCCTCAATCCCAACCTCATCCAACCCCCAACCTCCCTGGGCAGAATGCTAGGCTGGCTACTAATGTAAGGGAGGGCGGGGATGACTTTCAGTGGTCAAATGGCTTTAAAGGGGGAGAAGGAGGTCAGGGATGCAGAAGAGGTGAGTGAAGGGAGCTAGAGGTGAGAGACCCCTTTCTTTGTTTGTTGCTAGCCTCACCTCTGTCCTCAATTCATCTACTTTCAGATGTCCCTGATCACCTGCATTTTGTGGACCGACATCGGGAGCAGCTGGTGGCCCGGGTGACATTGGTCGACCCTGTCCTGGACAAGCTGCATGGACATATGCTGAGTGAGGAGCAGTATGAGAGGGTGCGGGCTGAGGCCACCAAGCCAGACCAGATGCGGAAGCTGTTCAGCTTCAGCCAGTCCTGGGACTGGACCTGCAAAGATCGACTCTACCGAGCCCTGAAGGAGACCCATCCTTTCCTAATCGTAGAACTGTGGGAGAAGTGGGGTGGCAGAGGGGGCCAAGGGGCTCCTGACAACCTTGGCATCTGAAGTCCGAACGCCTGGCTCTACCTCACCTTCTCTGGATCTCAGTTTCTGCATCTATAAGTTTCCCTCCAAGGGGCCTTCCACTTATGGAACTTTGATGATGTCTCTGCTGGGTACTGCCTCGGAAACCTAAGAAGGGGTCGCTATGAGTCGGGTCCGACTCAATGGTACATAACAACAACAACAACAACATGGTATCACGGTGTCACGTGGGCACCTGACCTACCTCCTGGGCTTTCCACAGGCCACCTGTCCAAGGAGGGTACCAGCATCTCAAGGAAAATCAATCTGGAGCTGCCAAGAGTTCTGCATATTATAGATGCCTAATCCAAGAGTCTGGCCTGATGGTCACAACAGCCAACCCTAAAGCCCTCCCTGTTCCATCTAGATGTAAGGAGGAGTAGTAGGTATGGGACAGGCCAACCAGACTAGAGACAGACAGTGAAGTGGACCCTTTGGAGATTTTGAATGCTTTGTGAATATGTGGGGGGAAATGATTTATTTTTCAGTTGCTCGTATTGGGCTTAGCTTTTCTGTTGGCTCAAATATGTGCTTTGTTGTTTGTGAAGTCTAGATGGTTTAATAGAGCCAGGTAAGGGGTGAAAAAGGAGACAGCAAGGGGAATGGAGCCTAGGTTTTAGCTGAGATGTCTCTTCCTGTAGGAAGCCATTCCATGCCCTTGCACCTGGCTGAGACACCACTGCCCTGTAGTCCTACAGCAGGCTGTGTGCTCTATCAGAGCACTCAGCACACTGCATTGTCCCTGCTGCTTCATAACCCCCCTCTCCCAACTCTTTGGTAAACTCCCTGAGGACAGAAGCCGTGTCAAACCTGCTCATCCATTTTTTCCCAATGCCTCATAGTGTTTCCACCACCTATCTGTCAAATTGGTCATAGTGTGGTGGCTTGTGTGTTGATATGATGCTGGAAGTTATACCACCAGTATTTCAAATAACAGCAGGTTCACCCATGGTGGACAGGTTTAATTGGAAGTTCCAGACTAAGGCAGGGTAGGAAAAAGAACTGGCAATCAACATCCACTCCTCACTTATCAACAAAGTTAGGTTCCAAAGACCAGATCTTTATACAAAAATCAGCATTATGCAAAAATGGAGGATGATCACAAAATAGAAGATGACTATATCAATACATAATTGCCAAATTACATCATTACGTAACTGCCAAACCACTGAGAATCATGGCTCAGACAAGTTGACACATAACCTTAACCATCATAGCCAGCATTACTCCCACCTCATACCTCAGCATTCTTACTGCCACATATACATCACTAATGCACAAAATAGTCATTTTTCACTGTTGTCGTTGCAAAAACAGCCTAGGATGGCATCTGACCTCCTCTACCTTCACAACAGGGGAGGAGGATCAAGACCAAGAGCCCAAGGCCGATTCCTATGAGGTGGAGGTCAGGCATGACTCCACCCTCCAACCTTTTTACCAATTCTGACAACTGTCCCTCCCACAGCACTCTCTTCTTCTTTACTGGGTTCAATAATTCATTGCAATAGTCACACAGAACTCATAGACAATACTCATGATTATGGAGTTTACTTGTGAAGAAACAGGTTACAATTCAGGATCAGAAACAACTTAGGATACAGTTCTTTGATCAGGACACTACAGAATATATACACAAAACAGCTGCAACAATGGACTCAAACATACCAAGGATCATGAAGATGGTACCAGACCAGGCAGTGTTTCATTCTGTTATATGTAATGTTGCTATGAGTCACAGCCAACTCACTAACAACTAACAACAACAGTATAGTGGCTGACACATGGTGAGTGATAAATGAGGATTTAATAGGTAAATGGTTGAGGAAATTTCCCCAGATACCTCCTTTAATTCCCTTCCTAGTCACCATCCCATCCATGTGATAATCTCCAAGTTTGTGGGCTACCCTCATGACCTCAATGAATTAGTGATCTTAGAATTGGACTCACTGGCATTGCAATATTTACACAAATGTTGTCCTCAACTCACGAGAGCAAAGCCTTACTCACACTATCCCAAGATACAAAAGCACGAATTGATTGTATCCCCCTCCCCACTCTTCACCCTTCTACCTCAGAGTCACTTCTCCCCACCGTCCACTTGGGCTCCTACCCGTTCTCTTCCCTTCTTCCTTACACAGCCTTGAGGGTCTCTTCTCTGGTCTCTCTGACTCTGAGGATTGTTCTAAGGGCTAAATGGGCTAACACATGTATGTGCTCAGATCAGTGTCCATCACACAGTAACAACCTGAAAAATTATGGTTGTGCTCTTTTGGTTTCACTGCTCACTGAGTAGGTGAGGGAGGTCACCAAATCCCTACCTCCCACAACTACTCCAAAAGAGAGTTCAACAGGGTTAGTGCACAAGCATCAAAAACTTGAGAAGGGAAGGGCCCACTCCTGTGGCATTAGTTTCAGCTCTATAATAAGCACGTGCCGGAGAGGTTACCTTCTGGATCCATTGACTTATTTGCTCAGGCCACAATGCTAACATGTTCAGTAATATAGTTGACTCTGCTGGGATCTTCCTCTGGAGATGAAAGGCTTTCCTGAAATTTTGGACTGTAGCTCTTAGAGCTGACTTGTGATGGAAGGGGATTCTGGAAAGACACCCAACTGTGGTGCCCTCTGGTCTCAGGTAGGATAAGCCTGTGTAGAAGACAGGAGACCATCAGGCCTCTGCTCCCCAGACTTAGGCTCTGCATTTCCCAGGACAAGAAAGCTGTGCACAATGAGCTTGCTGATCTGAATGGATTCCAGACAACCTGCCCGTGTCAGCAATATTCTACTCTATGTAGCAGGTGCATGATTTGCATCTGAATTTAATGTCCTCAGCCATTTTAAGAAAAAAGATATGTATATAAACATATATACACATACACACACACACACACACACA